GATGGGAGTGGGGTCGTCAGTACAGACCTATTGTACATGTATTTAGTGGTAGGGGAAACCGGAGTACCCGGAGGAAACCTACGCAGACACGGGGAGAACATGCAAACTCCACTCAGAAACTACTACAACTACTACTACTACTACTACTACTTTTTTGAGTTAAACAGCACAATATCAACACTTTGCACATTTTGTTCAATTTCTTGAGAAGCATTTCCTTTTGAAGCCGGACATCACACTCTTGAGTTTTCTCTCAAATACATCAACACAAGCACTTCATGGCAAAATGGTCTTCTGAGATACACACTTGTGTTCAAAGCATTACCTGTCATGCTTTTTTAAGAGCACGCTTTCATTTTGGAATTATGAAAGAGAAATGTTTGCTCACATGCATTACAAAACACTGGAGATAAGTGCGCTTTTAACCGCACAAGGGTAGCTACAAGCGTAAGGGCGATATCTCGATATTTCAAAAACTGGATATGAGTTTTGACATATTGTATATCGAAATAATGATATATCGATAATAATGTTTGCTTATTTGCTTTCTCTGTGCTGTGCTCATCTGCTCGCCTCTGCCTTCATGGGTTTGTTCACCCTGCCTTCATTCAACATGGCGGCCTCTGCAACCGGCTACAAAACTTCATAAAGCGTTGGATGTGGAACATATGACGGTGGTTTAACAAAGTGGCTTTATACAAATATGTAGAGTCTATGCTTTATACACAGCTAAAAAAACAACCCAGATACAGATCATGGCGTCGCCATTACTGCGATACAAGAACTCCTGCGACTCTGCACCACGGAGAGAGCGGCTGCTGCTGAAACGGAAAAGGTCACTAACTATTTATGTAATCAGGGATTTTTTAGACATCGCAGAAGCACTTTATTCCTATATGCACTGCCCTTGAGTTGAACCATTTTATTTTTTAAATTGAATTTATGAAAAGAAGGCAATGTTTCAATTCTTTCATTTGTTTTACATTTATTTTGTATACAGGGAAAAAAGACAAATAAATAGCAAAAACAATTTGTTCCAACTTTAACTAACCCAAAAGGCATATATATTTTGCAGTAGTTTTTGGAAGGTTATTTTCCTGTAAATATACTGATAAATATATTGTATATTTAGATAGAGCAAAATATATCAAGATATGTTAAGCTCCATATCCCCCAGCTCTACTAATGGTTGTGGGTTTGATCCCTGCACAAATCATATACCTTCTCCCAATAACGTCTAAGGTTGCTGTGTTCCTGGGCAAGACACTGAACCCCACTTTACCTGAAGCTGAAAGACCGAGACTGTGTCACTCTGACAATGTTCAAATCAAGGTAAAAAAAGTTCTGTTAAGCTGCAAACAACTGAACTCAACTAAATTCAAAGTGGTGAACAACTTCAGCACTTTGAGTTTCCTTATGAACAATGCTAAACTTACCTTGCCTTACATTTAATATGTACGGATTGTCATGTGTAGCTACAATAGAACATGAGTCCTGACACGAACCAAGAAGTATTATCACATTAGTCCAGTCCTCAGGTCTTTGCACTGGCTCCTGTGGCTCGGAAAATAGACTTTAAATCAGCTCTGTTTTCTACAAGTCTCCATAGCCTCGCACCAAAGTACATTAGTGACATGTTAGTGCCATATGAACCAAATCTGACTCTGAAGAGCACAGGGACTGGCCTAAACATGGGGACGCAGCATTTCAGATTTTTGCAGCTAAAATGTGGAACAATCTCCCTGAAAATGTGAGGCTTCTTCTATGACAATGTTTAAATCCAGGAAAATGATGTTCTGTTTTGCTGTGCATACAACTGAGGGGTTTAATCTTTATTTTTTAATGTAGATTATTTTGTTCAGCACTTTGAGTTGCCTTGTGTATGAATTGTGCTATACAAATAACCCTTGCCACCAGCTCCAGAGAATGCAACAATATTGTGTCAACTCTGAAAACAGCAGCCATCCTTTAACAGCGACTCCAGCGACAGTAAAGAAGTCATTACATTTCGATTGTTCACGGCTGAGGAGACCGATTCACGCTCGCCACATGTTTTATTGATCTTGTATTTAGGGGAAACAAACAGAAATAATGGATTGTTTATCCGCATCAAGAGCCGATTTAATGAACTTTCACAATCATGCAAATGTGCCAGCATAGGTGAAGACATCAGTAGCAGTTGTTGTATTTTTAATTCGTTATGCCTTGTTCTAGTAATGGGTTGACGTGTAGTTCAGTTGAAGGTCCAATAAATAACGTAATCTTTATTTATATACAGCCTTTCACAGTCCAGAGTCACAAAGCACTTTACAATTGATGTGGGCATTTGTCTCGCACTCCACACAGAGATGGGAGCGGGGTCAGTACAGGAGGTGCATGCCAGACCTATTCTACATGTTTTTTAGTGGTAAGGGAAACCCAAGCCCCGGTGATCCAAGATGGCGCCCTATTCAAATGAATGGCTTGTGCTCAGTAGCGCATGGGACTTCACGGAGACCGGGAGATTAGCAGAACTCGCCTATATTTGGGCATCGTCTGGTCCTCCCGGTTCTGCGCAGTGGACGAGCTCCCATGATGCGTTGCGCCAAATACGCTTGTGTGGCTGTCATGCACGTGCACAGAGGGGCTCGGCCGCGCTCTGACCAATCAGAGCTGCTGATCAGAGCGGAGCCAGAGCGGGAAGGAAAAGAGCAGAGTTTGTGGCAGTAATGTGCAAATTGAAAGAAAACCGAAGGATTAAAGAAGAAAAAAAGTTCAGGTTGACAAGGGACACTAAAATCCCCACAAAATCCGATCTTTATCATAGCTGTAGGTTCTCTGTCAGGTTCTCTGTCAGCTGAGGTCGAGCTGTTTTAATTTACATTGAGATCTGTGGGACTTTTTTACTGGGTAGCCCACGTGAATTTAGTCAGCAGAACCACGGGGGCCCCCTGTGCTCATGGGTGGGACAGCTATAAGCTAGTAATACCCTATCCAGTTATTATTATAGATCCATGGGGAAACCGAAGCACCCGGAGGAAACCTACGCAGACACAGGGAGAACATACAAACTGCACACAGAAAGGTCTGGATACGTCCCCTTACATCAGACCAATGGCTCTAACAATCGGAGCTTCCTTATGATTGCTGGAAGGGGAGAATTGGGGCCAATATCAAGTTATGAGTTATGATTTTTCCGATGCCCTCTACCACAATTTGAAACAAGAGGTATATTGGAATGTGGTGATGTCACATAATATGTCACCCATACATTTGTCTCTTCTTGTTACAGAGAAAGTTGATGATATTCTTAACTCATTGTCACATCTTTAGAGCATTTGAAATCTAGATATGAGCAAATCTGTGTTTTAAAAGAGGCAAGTCCATCCGCGTTCAACAACAAAATGGTGGAAAGCTGATAAGAGTAAGATTAAGACCAGCTACAGAACAGTGGGAATGAGGTGCACACAGCAAAAGATACATTTACAATAGCTATACACTTTAAAAATAGAATAAAATATGTAACTTTAGCGCAATAAAGAAGACAGCACCAAATTACTAAGCATAGTGAAAGTGGACACATGTGGTTCTTAAAGTACATTTTGCATGTTGCACCCCTCATACTGAGGACTATTCGCTCTGATTTCGGATCACCTTAAAAAACTCTCCACGATTTCATTTTTGAGATTTTTCACTCTCCAAAAGTTGCCCACGCTCCATTTTCCAACTTGTCGCCTCAAAACATGTTATTCTCAAAAATCAAACTGCGCATTCCGGTCTGAATAACAGCTTCCTAATGTCGTCCACAGTCACTCCTTCTCTCCAGTTCAAAATGTGACACTTAAATATGACACAAACACGTACAGATATTTGGATGAAGTAAAAATATTGACAAAAGGGTCGAGCTGCTGCATGGTGGTTTGAGAGAGGGTAGATTCTCAGTTTCAAAATCTCTCAAAGAAAAAAAAAATCTCAGTTCAGACATTGAGCTAATAATGACGCCTGGATGGGAGAACACGGATCCAGATGAAACCGATGTATCTATATCTTATACATATGTGGTAAAACTAACTTGCCTCATGAACCCAGCTCACATTCAAGTTAGTGGGTGAACACAATGTAATGCTTGGTGAATGTATGTAGTCTCAGACCTTGATTTACAGTCTCAGTCTTGGATCTACAGCCTCAGTCCTGGATCTACAGCCTCAGTCCTGGATCTACAGCCTCAGTCCTGGATCTACAGCCTCAGTCCTGGTTCTACAGCCTCAGTCCTGGATCTACAGCCTCAGTCCTGGATCTACAGCCTCAGTCCTGGATCTACAGCCTCAGTCCTGGATCTACAGCCTCAGTCCTGGATCTACAGCCTCAGTCCTGGATCTACAGCCTCAGTCCTGGTTCTACAGCCTCAGTCCTGGATCTACAGCCTCAGTCCTGGATCTACAGCCTCAGTCCTGGATCTACAGCCTCAGTCCTGGATCTACAGCCTCAGTCCTGGTTCTACAGCCTCAGTCCTGGATCTACAGCCTCAGTCCTGGATCTACAGCCTCAGTCCCGGATCTACAGCCTCAGTCCTGGTTCAACATTCATGGGAGTGGATTCCTCTCTCAATATGGGTCTCCCTGGGGTCTCTCACAGTTTTTCCCACTGGTTCACTCATTCCTGGCTGAAGCAGAATGGTCTAAGGACAGTGATGTTCCCTATAAACTAATGGCTCCTATGTCTTATTGCATTCCCTCTGTTTAAACAGTTTGATTCTCAGATCTGCTGTCGGAAAACTTTACTATTTTGTCCTACGACTGCTGCAGTGATCTAGGGTTAGACACAAATACATTGAATAGGAGAATGTTGGAACAGGGTTTTGCTGAATCTGTCTGTTATGAGCCGATCTCAAACTCGTCTTTTCTGTTTCAGTGACTTGTGTGGAAGCGATCGTCGGCACCTCTGACCCACCGGGAGCAGCAGCCCGACCCTCTCCCGTTTGTTGATGTCTGTGAGAAAGAAGAGGAGGAAATGTGTCTGACCTTTCCGGCTGCCGACGCTCCCTGCTCCACGGAGAAACTGCAAACAAACACAGGAGGATGCATAAATAAACATTCTTTAGAAGTATAAAAGAGTGAGCAGTTTTGAGCAGTTTATAAAGAATTTGAACCCATTTCCACATCATGGCGCTGGAATTTTTTGATTTTCTGTGTCTAATTCTCCAGTTTGAGAGATGGCATTCACAAAATTGGGTATTAAATGCTCAAAGAAACATATTTGCCTCTATGAGTGAGAACTTTGTAAAGCTGAGATACTTCATTTTAAATCCACAAAAAAATGAACAATGTCATAAAATCTATCTCTCAAAACACATGCATGTATTTTCAGCATCAGTTGTAAAGTGAAATAGAGAAATAGTGACTCAAGGGCTCTTTCTTATGTCTAAAGTATGAAAAATATGTATTCCCATAAGATGGAGACAGCATGTAGTGGTCTGATTTTTTCACATCATTTTACTTTTGAAAGGCTCTTTCTGTTAGTACAAACATGTATCACTCAGGAAATAAAAAAACGTCATGTACCTCAGCTTTAATGTGTATATAAAGCAATATTGAAATGTTATTGGCACCAGCGTGAGACAAAAAATAGATTAAGATTGAGAGATTCTTTAAGTGTTGCATCAAAATTTACAGGACAGTGGCGATGAGGAGCACACAACATCAGATAAGTTTAGCACAACTTTATACTTTACCTTGATCTTACCAAACCTCAAAATATAAAGTATAAACTCCATATACTCTATTGACGTCATAAAGTTACTTTCATTGTGAATATTAGCTTGAACTAAAGTATACTGTACGTCTATAGATGATGAGAATTTATGAGTGCTGCATTTGATGCTACTGTACATGTTAGCAACATGTGATGCTACTGTACATGTTAGCAACATGTGATGCTACTGTACATGTTAGCATCATGTAATACTACTGTACATGTTAGCATCATGTGATGCTACTGTACATGTTAGCAACATGTGATACTACTGTACATGTTAGCATCATGTGATACTACTGTACATGTTAGCATCATGTAATACTACTGTACATGTTAGCATCATGTGATGCTACTGTACATGTTAGCAACATGTGATGCTACTGTACATGTTAGCAACATGTAATACTACTGTACATGTTAGCAACATGTGATGCTACTGTACATGTTAGCATCATGTAATACTACTGTACATGTTAGCATCATGTGATGCTACTGTACATGTTAGCAACATGTGATGCTACTGTACATGTTAGCATCATGTGATACTACTGTACATGTTAGCAACATGTGATGCTACTGTACATGTTAGCAACATGTGATGCTACTGTACATGTTAGCATCATGTGATACTACTGTACATGTTAGCATCATGTGATGCTACTGTACATGTTAGCAACATGTAATACTACTGTACATGTTAGCATCATGTGATGCTACTGTACATGTTAGCAACATGTGATGCTACTGTACATGTTAGCATCATGTGATACTACTGTACATGTTAGCAACATGTGATGCTACTGTACATGTTAGCATCATGTGATACTACTGTACATGTTAGCAACATGTGATACTACTGTACATGTTAGCAACATGTGATGTTACTGTACATGTTAGCATCATGTGATACTACTGTACATGTTAGCAGCATGTGATGCTACTGTACATGTTAGCAACATGTAATACTACTGTACATGTTAGCAACATGTGATGCTACTGTACATGTTAGCAACATGTGATGTTACTGTACATGTTAGCAACATGTGATGCTACTGTACATGTTAGCATCATGTGATACTACTGTACATGTTAGCAACATGTGATACTACTGTACATGTTAGCAACATGTGATGCTACTGTACATGTTAGCAACATGTGATACTACTGTACATGTTAGCAACATGTGATGCTACTGTACATGTTAGCAACATGTGATGCTACTGTACATGTTAGCAACATGTGATGCTACTGTACATGTTAGCAACATGTGATGCTACTGTACATGTTAGCAACATGTGATGCTACTGTACATGTTAGCAACATGTGATGCTACTGTACATGTTAGCAACATGTGATGCTACTGTACATGTTAGCAACATGTGATGCTACTGTACATAACAAAAAATTACAAACTGGAACTGTCTTGCAGTGAGGACATTGCCTGCTCGGTTGCTGCTTCCAAACACAAGGAAATCTGTTTTTTTCACACTATTGATTCAACGTGGATTTAGAGTCCTGTTCCAAAACTCGCCTGGCAGCCAATCAAAATGCTCGCTGTGCCGCATATGGAAAACTCTCACAAGAAAAGCTGTGGACAGACGACGCACAATAGTTTATGTAGAAGCAATTATAGACAGCTTGGTCCTGCATGATTTTGGCATCGAAAAGTCCCAGAGCTGAAGCAAAGTGTGTGTTGATTGTGCAAGTAATTAGATAAATGTGAATTAAATAGTTTGGATTGCCGTGCCGCAGCTGGGCCTTGATTATCTCCGTGAAACTATTGGATCGGGCCTGCATCAGAATGAGGCCAGAATGTAAACCAGTCCTTCAAGACTTTAGCTCGGGATCGAAGAGAAGGGGCCCATCATCACTACATCACTCCAAGACTAATCCAGATTCTTTTCAATTCAATGTTTTACTGCAGAGTCTGGATTCACAAAAGCAGTCGTCTTGGAAAGTCGAAGAAAATTGTCAACAACAGAGTAGAGATGATTTTTGATTCAAGATTTTAACTACTACAACATCAACTGCTATAAATATAATATCTTTGCGTTATACAACCCGCTTTATTTATATAGCACATCTGACAGGCACATGGTCCACAGCAAATCAATATAAAGTCTGCTCCTCATCCCGATGTCCTTTAAACGATATTAAAGTTTCTTCATTTCCAATAATCAGTCTGACAGTGACAGTGCAAAGTGTCTCATTTATACAGAGAGGGTACGAAGCCCCGTCGATCCAAGATGGCGGCGTATTCAAATTAATGGTTTGTGCTCAGTGGCGCAGTGTGCCGGCACGGTCGCTGACATATTAGCGGAACTCGCCGTATCACTCTCTATATTTGGGCATCGTCTGGTCCTCCCGGTTCTGCGCAGTGGATGAACTCCCATGATGCGTTGCACCAAATACGCATGTGTGGCTCTCACGCACGTGCACAGAGGGGCTCGACCGCGCTCTGACCAATCAGAGCAGTTCATCAGAGCGGGAGTTAGAGCGAGAGCCAGACGAGCAGAGTTTGTGGCACTAAAGTGTGGATTTAAAGAAAACCGAAGGATTTAAGAAGAAAAAAAGTTCAGGAGGACAAGGGACACTATCCCCACAAAAGCCGACCTTTATGAAAGCTGTGGGTTCTCTCTCAGCTGAGGTCGAAGCTGTTTTAGTTTACATTGAGTTTTAGGAGGAAAATGTCTGGGTAACCCACGTGAATTTAGTCTGGTTTAATCTGCAGTACCACGACAATCCCCCGAGCACTTCAGCTACAAGCTAGTAATACCCTATCCAGTTATTATAATAGATCCATGGAGGTTACTTACAAACTTATTTCCTCTCCCCTCACCTCTTCCCACTCAACTGTTTAAGCTCCTCTCCCTCATACACTCTCACCTCTCCTCTTTCACCTCTTCCTTATCCGCATCGCCTCCCCTCCTGCTCCTCTCCCTCACACACTCCTCAAGTCTTATTGCCCTCCTCTGATCCCTCCCTCACCCTTCCCGTCATTTTCCTCCCTCCTCTCCCTCACACACCACTCACTCTCTCCGTCCTCTTCCTCCCTAATTTTCCTCACACATTGCTCATCTGGTCCTCTCCCTTACCCCCCTCACCTCTCCGCCCTCTTTTACCCCCTCTCACCTCTCTTCTCCCTCCCCCTATGACCTGTCCTCCCTCACCTCCCCCCTCTCCCTCCCCCTCTCACCTGGCCAGGCTGCTGGTGGCTGAGCTCTCCCCGATCTGCGAGCTGGCGATCCACTTGGTCTCCCCCACCACGGTGCGGGCGTGGGGGACGCGGCCCACGTCCTTCACCGTCATCATCAGGTGCCGCGAGGACTTGAGCACGCGCACCGCCTCGTCGTGCGGGACGCTCAGGAAGCTCCGCCCATTCACCTCCAGGATCTGATCGCCCACCTGCGCAGAGGGGGAGAGAGAGCAGAGCGGGGCGGGGTCAGGCTGCGGGCGGAGGAGGAGCGTGCAAACACATGACGAGAGGGACACGAGGAGGAGGAGAGTGGCACAAGTGGAGAGCGGTTTTAGTAGAAGTGGAAGTTGGCCTGGATCACAGCGTCTGGAGGCTGGATTATGTAAAGGTGGTCCGCTCTGAAAGAGGATGTCACAAAACAAAGACATGCACCTGTAAATGGTTTCTTTTCGAGTCCCTCCAGATCCAACGAGAGGAGACAAGGCTGATTTGTAACAAAGTGCATAAGAACAGAGACGTCATTGAGATATTAATGACGCATGCTTAAGATATAGAGACTGTAGTAAGAATGTGTCAGAACAAATACGTTCAGTTCTTCAGATAATAATTTTTTAGCAGAAACACAGATATAACAAATTACTGAAAGCACACAAATGGATGGATAGAAATTCAATTTAAGCAATTAATTTGAACCAGACCGGCCCCTAGACAACTCTGATAAACTAAAGAGGCTCTTACTAACAAGTTTGGGAACCCCTGACCTAGACCTATCACCTGTTTGTCATGAACCGAAATTTGAATACACGTGCCGCATTGATTTTGGTAAAGCACTTTTCTTTGGCCTTCGTAGAGCACAAATTCTAACGCCTCCAGATTATACAAACATCTGCAGCAAGACTGTTTAGCAAATAATCCAAATCCTGTCATATCACCCCTGTCCTGGCTACCCTTCACTGGTTACCTGTGCAGTACAAGATTACATTTAAAATCTTGACCTAGTAACCAGTGGCCAGGCTCCCGACTCCCGTGTACCCTTGTGTATCTAATTGATTTTGGGCTTTAAGTGCAGTAACGTTTAGTGTCCAGCAGGGCGAGACCAGTGTGCTCTTGAGCTTCACGCAGTTTTCGTTTTGACACGGGAAGAACATGCAAACGGCAAACAGAAAGGCCTGGACGTGGAATCGAACCCCTGACCACTGCGCTGTGCCGTCCATTATTATTTATGGTTATAACAGTCTGGTGTCAGGGATATAAAGCACAGCACATACTTGCAAGCTCAAAAAAACAGCTTTGCTCAAACTCTAAAATCAATTACCGTTCTTTCTCCTGCGGTTTGCTTTGCTTTCCGTGAATTTCTCTTTCCTATTGTGCAGATTTTCGGTTTGTAAATGCGATGCCAGCGGGCTCTTTCCCAGTGGGATTAGAAACATCGATTGTTGGATTCTGTGTCTGCCAGAGAGAAACGTTTTTGCTCTATTTTCGTCAGATATGTGGCTGCTTCTTTAAGCCTGCCAAGAAGACAAGATTTCCTCTTGTGGCACAAAAACACACGTATTTATGTATTTGGAAAAAAAAAGTGTATCTCCTTCATTCAGTGATTTAGGCTGGAGCACCATTCAGGAAAACGAAACGAAAAATGACGGTGTACAAGTGACAATTTCTGCAGTTTACAGTTCATATTACTGAGTACTCCAAATGAAAGCAAAGAGAAAGAACAGAAAATGGGACAGCGATGGTAGCAAAACTGAAAAATGGGGGCTGAATAGTTTTATTATAACTTGTACGGCAAATTGTATTGTAATTTCTGTCTGATAATGTGTGTTCATGCATCCGTCTACTTTTGTTTTACTGTTTACTCCTCAGGGACTTCAGATGAAAATTACCACTGCTGCTACAACCTGGTCCCATGCACCTCTCCTTTTGGCTTATGTTTATTGAACAAAACCATACTATAACATGGCGATCCAAACTCAGAAGCAGATGAAAATGCTTGTATCAACTATGTGTGAAAAGAGAGGCCACACAGTGTTAGCTCCTCTTGTTTGCTGCTTAGGACACATAGTATAAAGTAATTTTACACAGAGAAAAGTTGATCTAACTCCAGGATTCTCCAGCTGTTTTACATTTAGATTGGCCTGTGTCTTGTCTGTGTGAACAAGTGTGTGTGTGTGTGCGTGCGTGCTTGTGTTGGTCTTGGCTTGTTTCTTGCCATAGATGCTAATGTGTATGAGTGTGTGTGTGTGTGCGTATGTCATTGTACTGCAGGGGTATCCAAACTTTTTAGTAAGAAGGCCGCTTTAGTTCATCAGACTTGACCTGGGGCCGACAACCTGGATGTAAAAAACTGGATTTGAGCTGGAAAGACTGGATTTTATGCAGAATGCTGTGACAAAATCATAAAACAAATGTCAGTACATAACAATAGAGTCAACGAGTGGATCCCAGTGTCTCAAAGTGCCTCAATAGCAGAGGGCCACATAACATGGCACAGAGGACCGCAATTGGCCCGCAGGCCTGAGTTTGGAAATGCCTGCTGTAGGGTATTGATTCTTGTTTTAATTATATGTTGTGTGTGTGTGTTTGAACGGCTGAGAAAGTTTTGGATTAATATAATACGCTTCATCCAATCCCTTTCCAAACCATGCGATATTTAAAATGTCATTATTATTGTATTCTGTTTTTCTGTGAATAATTGTGTATATATTGCGCATATTTCGCATACAAAAACAAAATTCATCCTGTATAAATACTCCAACCTTTTCACATTCTAGTGTTTGTCTGGGAGGTGGTAAACTGTGCTATTCTGGTCACACTTGGAGTTTACAGCACAGGGTGGAAATAGCATGGCATTATTAGTAAATAAAATGACAAACGTTGCAGAGGGTTGTGTCTGAGCAGAAGACATGTTTATGTGTGGTACAGACACTAACAGCATGGAGATGATTTTATACCCAGGCAAAACCCAGCACCCCCTGGCATCTGCCACGTTGCCAATATAACTTTACTGCAACTTTAAAGAGGCACGCCTAACTTTTTGTGTTTGTCACAGCAGAAATATATACTCTTGCAAACAAAACAGTCATGTTATCTTCGGCATGCTTGTACAAAAAAGCCCTGTGAGTCACTATTTGAGGCTTTGGGCTGAGAGCTGGTTGGCTAAATGAGTGTGGTTCTGTCTTTTTCACGTTTCTGTATGAAAAAAGCTTAGTTTAGTTTATTCAAGGACAATGTGAAGTCACATTAAAACGACGGCTGAACCAGATTTAGCACTATGCTACTTTCCATCTGTAGTCCTTGATAAAATAATCATTAAACATTAATAAACAGTTCTATAAAAAGTAGGGCTGTCAAAATTATCGCGTTAACGCACATTAATTACATTTTTCATTAATCGCGTTAAAAAATAAATAACGCATTGACGCATGTCTGAATGATCGGCCCATGTATCCCATGATATCACTCAGAATGCCACGGAAAGAAGCGTGTGAGAGATGGTGACAGAGCAGGAAGGCCCTCTGGAAATTCAAGTTTTAAAAGAATATGTGACCGCGGGGCACTTGCTGTTGTTTAATATGAACTGAAATCTGCATCCTCCGTGAGCCGCAGCGTACTGACCCGGGGCAGCTGCGGCCGCTCTGGTTGTTGTTAGCTGGCTGTGAGCCGCTAACAACAACACGGCGAACGCCGTCACGGTAACGTGATCCAAGACCATACAGGCACAGAACTATTCTCTGCATGTTGTGTGCGTGTCTTTGTGTAAACTGTGCGTAACTTGTGCAGCAATAAACACACATATACTGAAGCTGAACTATGGAGCCTCTTGTCCTCTACTCAAACGCAACTAAACTCGCTAAATTAAAGCTGGGGTACGTACATTTTCCCTTTCAGTAACAGCTCATGTTGGTTGTGCCCAAAAGTAAAAGGTTCTGAGCAAATCAAACAGATTTAAATACATTTGGTATGAAGGACAATGTGTCATTCCATTTGATAATCTCACTTAACTTCCAATGGAGTGGATTTGAAATAGATTTGTTAGGAATGCGATTGATCGTGAGTTAACTCACCGTTACTATGCGATTAATCAACTAAACATTTTTTAATTGTTTGACAGCCCTAGTAAAAAGTGCAGAAAGCTAGTGATAGAAGCAGGAACTCGTGAGATGAATTGAAAACGTATCTGTTGAGCTGTGCCGTCGACAATTTCAAGTCCTAACTTAAGGATGAGTTGGAGAAAATCTTTATCAGCGAGCACTTCCCTATTGTGCTTCATTGAGGTAGCATTGTCCATCTATATAAAGTCTATGGTAAAATTAATCCACTCACCAATGCCACTGTGCTACCACCTTCCAATAGGGAGTAGTGCGCTGTTGAATGTAAGAAGTAGAAATTTGTGAAATCAAAAAATAATTATTGAAATTGAGTGTGTTTATTGTGCTCACTGAAACAAACGATGCATCTCCCTAATGAACGTCTCAGCTTTCACAATGATGTTCCATAAGTGTCCATAAAAATGCACAAAGTGTAATTATTCTACAGTGCAGCATTTCTCAACTTTACAGCCGAGCCATAAAAGCCAAATAAACATCCATAAAAGACATTAAAACAGACTTGTTCATACACTCCTGCGAGTCACTCTTTATATTCATTCTTCTCGATCTAATGCTAAGTCTTTTTTCCTTTCTTAAAGCTGGTGTACCTAACTTTCAAATCACAAAAAAATAAGTACAATCTTAATTTCTCTTAATCTCTTAATTTCTCATGCATGTATTTTTTCACATCTTTAGATCAGCTTTTTCATTGTACTTAAAAGTAAAAAACAGAGGACCACCTTCGCTCAGCCAATCAGCTCGCAGCCCAAAGCATCAAATAGTGATGTCACATGGGTCTTTCTTACAAATACGCAACAGATAACAACAACAAAAGACAGAATATTTCTCCTCTAAGATTGTTGTTCCTAGGCAATTCTATGAACCTCCAGAAAATGTATTGTAAGCATAAACATTGAAAACCCAAATTGGCTCTTCCCAATTTTTTTTTTTTTTACCAAGAACTTATACTAGGCTTGTTCTGGATCACCCAAATGGTCAGTGGAAAACTTTCGCCGAGCCTGAGCAAGCTTCAGCAGGGGGGGCTTTTTGGGCGATGCATCTTAACAACACTGAATCCACTGTGCAGCATGGGGGTGGTAACATGATGGTTGTCCTCACCATTTTAGGATTAAAGAACTATGATTTAGTGCCCTCTCTGATCCTGGTGTTTATATTTCGATATTGTGTTTGTAAATTTATAAGCCATGTAAGTATTGACCAATCGGGAAACTCGCAGCAGCCCTCCTGTTATGGCAAAAAGCTAACGCCGTCGAAACAAATGCCCATATGAGGAAATTGGCTCCATACAGCTAGCTTATCCTTCCTCCGTATTAAGGCTAACACTATGGTGACATCAATTCAATTAAATGTAATGTATTTTTTCCAAGCCATAAATCACAGCAGCAGTCATCTCGGAGGACTATACAAAGTTGTGGATTCACCCACACAGATCAGAGAATCTAACACAGAAAATTGAATAAAATCAAACACATAGGAGCCATTAGTTCATAGGGAGCGGGATGACCAATGTCCATAAATGTTCATAAAATGTCCGTTAATACTAATAAATATCCATAAATGTCCCCAAAACCCCGGTCTGATAATATACAGTGACTATGGTTCTATTATTTCACATTCCAAAAGATGGACTTATCCTTTGTCGTGGCCAAAAAAAAGACGTAATCTTTCTTACTTAAGCTAACGTTGATCATGCTAAAACCCCGCTCCTTCTATTATCGCCGCTGTCAGCAGAACTCAAGACTAAATTTCTCATTCTGGAGTTAATCTGTCTCGTTCTCTCTCGGTTACAGTCGCTGCTCCCGTGAATTACTCTCCGCCATTTTCCTCAGACGCAGCGTTTAGCATGAGGTAAAAAAAAAAAAAAAAGCTTCTCTAAATCTCACCTCCTGCCTGTCTCTTTGCTTTATGTCCATTTGGCCCCAGGCCCCGCTGAGCTGAGGGCCAGTGCAGTCAGTCCCGTATTGCGTTGATGCACTGGGACCCTGAGGAGAAATGAAGTTTGGGCTGGGCTGTTTCCAAAGTCCTGAAATGGCCCCAGATCTGGCAACGCTGAGGAACAACAGCTCAGAGACAGGACAGCACCGACCGGGGAGCTGTTGCAGGAGAAACGAGTCAAAGAGGACGAGGAAAAGCACACAGAGGGAAACACACAGCCGCTGCCAGACAGACGCACAATAACCACACAGTTTGTCGAATGTGTCGTGGAAAATACACAGGTTGGAACTGGTTAGTAATGCTTCTATTATGGTTATGAATGTGACGTGAAGCAGACAAAAGGTGGAGTCCTGGTTGTTAACATTGGAGGACTAATCAAATCGATGAGAGAAATTAACTGAAGTGAAAGACATGAGGAAATATTAGAACTCTAACAAGTGGTTAGCCATGCTTCTAACTCCATGAAAACTGTTTAAAGGGTCACCCATGCATGTTCTATGTTAAATAGTACATGTCATGCTTCTAACATAAGTAGCACGACAGCCCTACATGTCTTTCTCTGTTGCGAAACCCAAAAAGTTAGGTTCCTGAGCTTTAAAGACCAAATTATGTTATGATGATGAGTGGCTAGCTTTGCTTCTAAGCAAATGTTCAAATTAGAGGTCATATGTGGTTAACTGTGCTTCTAAGTGTACTAGTTCCACACATTCCAAAAGATGGACTTATCCTTTGTCGTGGCCAAAAAAAAGACGTAATCTTTCTTCCTTAAGAATGAAGGTGTTAGCCATGCTTCTAAGTTCATCCATGCAGGTTCTATGTAAAACAGTACATGTTGTATGGTTAGCTATGCTTCTGAATTCAGGTATGACGTGGTGAGCCATGACTTGAGTTAGCCATGCTTCTAACGCAAGCCGTCCCTCCACGTGTCTCCTCTACAGATTTCACTCTCATGTTTTAATCTTCTGATCTGTTTGAATCCTTGGACCTGAGTCATGATCATTGTCCAAATGTGACATCACTCGCTCCCTGAGGCCGAGAAGGCGCTGTTCTGCCAATAAACCAGAGTAAACAGGATAATTGGGTGAAAGCGATATCTTTCCGTTGCAGAAATGCCAAAGAGAGTCCATTTCATCTCCGCTGTACGAGCTGTGATCTCGCCTCACAACGAGAAGGCCACGAGTCCTGCGCTGTGATTGGACGATAAAACACCGCCATGCTTCTGTCATGGATCAGCGCCATGTCCCTAGTGTCGCAAAGTGCTGTTTCTGTCATGGGGGGAGGCGAATGAAGGACTCAAAATGCAGGAAATGCCAAAATAAAAATAATTTAATGATGAAAAAACTAAATGGTAGATGAAAATATACTCAAAAATCCAAAACCACAGGGAACCAGGAACGGAACAGAACAGAACGGAACGGACAAGGACATGAACAAGACAATGGACCAGCAACATGGGGAGAGGAGCACAGGGTACATATAGACACAGACACAGGTGAAACACATCAGGGCGGGGCAGACAATCAAGATAGGGGCAAACAGGACAGGAAGTACAACTAAAACCAAACCACAGAGAACAATGTCAAAATAAAACAAAAATACAAAAATAAAACCCACACCATGACAGTTTCATTCTTATTTTTCAGTGAAATTTTGATTCATTTGTGTAGTTCTATCTACTGTATGACGTTGTTAGTTATGGTTTGGTCAAATGTAAAAAAAAAAATATATATATATATATATATATATATATATATATATATATATATAATGGCCATGTGTCTTAGAACTGAACCAAGGGAATGGGAAACAATAGCCCTCTTTCCACCAGCCATGCATGGCTCTACTCTACTCTACTCTACTCTACTCTACTGCAAGAATCGTTAAGTTGAGTTTATTTATCTCAAAATGGAGAAATATCTCTATACTTCCTGTTATGCTTCAGTATCTGGTACTGTATCCTAGCAACCTACTCACAACACACCAGTATCCGGAGAAATACCTCGGTAACCATGGCTTCCAGCAGCACTCTGGCCATTCACACTTCAGTACCAGTTCAACCTAGATAGAATCAGGGCCAAGAGAGACTGAAAAAGTACCTGATAATGGTTAAACAGGGCCAGTGGAAACGCTCCCAATCGGGGTAGAGGGGAGCCGAGTAGGGCTGGTGGAAACGGGGAAATTATTTGACTTTGTTTATTTGCCAATTTCAGAAAACCACATCGGAATACATGTGCTTGTACCCCAGTGTACACCAGACAAGTACATAAATAAAACAAGCTAAAAAGTACAAGAAACAATCAAAACGGTGAAAATAAATAACAATAACAATAACATGGAACATGGCTTTTTCCGGGTGGCCAGAATATACTTTGCCAAGCAGTTTTGCACCTGGTTTGATAAATACAACCTTCACTGGTTTAAAAATGCACGATTTAATTACACAAGTTTATGGTTTACAAGATTAAAATCTAAATCTCTGTCCCCAACACCGATAATGACTCGTGTGCAAATGTACGAGGTCATTAGTGCGTCTCTCTGATCGCCGCTTGTCACCAGTGCCCTTTGTCTGCACTCATTATCCTGCATCCGGACACAGAATAAAGAAAAAACTAAAACCTTCATTGTGTTTGTATTTTTGTGAGAGCGGTCTGAGCCTCAACGACGGCTTCAAAACATCAGCTTCGATTGGACCAATTTAAAACCCCAGACTCCTGTGATCAAAGGTGCGCCTAATGTGAGTTGTGTTGAAAACGGGGGGAAAAAAATCATTTGAGTTTTGTCGACCAAAATAATGCTCCCAATTAGAGCAAACACATTGAGCAAGGAATTCAAACTGCAGGCTCAAAAAGATGCACTGAATGTGGGACCAAAGTTAACAACAAGGATTTCATGCTTTTGAAAGTTTTGATTGAAGCGCCGAAGCAGATGTGTCCAACCGCTTTCCCATGTAGAGATACTTTTCTAGGACAAAACTGAAAGAGAGCTTAGGCGAGAAAGTCAACAATCATTTGTGTGGTCTGTTGGAGCCGCATGACAGAGACGGACAAGAAGAAGCTGGACAAAGTCATCAGGAAGTCCAGCTCTGTCTTGAGCTGTCTAACATGGAGCCAACATCTATGTCGGACCATGACTGTTGCCCCCTGAAGGACACTCTGTCTGCTCTAGAGAGTAGTAGCTTCAGGGACATACTCACTCGCTGTGTGAAGGGGAGGTTTCACAGGTCTTTGTCGCTCCTTCATAGTTTCTTAATCATGCTCAAGTTTTATATGTGCCTCACTCTGTCTTGACTCGCAATTTTTATTCTTTTTGTCTATGGGTGTGCTTTGTGGTGTTGGTGCCCCTGGTGTCTCCTGTTTGTATTCCAATGTAGTTTTTTATGCAAATGGAAATACATTGATTCTGATTAGAGCTGCAACTAACGATTATTTTGTAATCGATTAATCTATCGATTATTTTTACGATTAATCGAGTAATCGCTTGGCTGTGAATTGTGTAGAAAAAAAAAAAAAATTCATCACAAAAAGCTAAAGTGGCAACACTCGAGGATGTATTGATGGCGTAAACTTAAAGTAAATGTTTGTAACAGGCTCTTTGTGCTAATTCTGCTATCTGATTGGATGAGACAGACAGATATTCATGAAATTATAAAAAAAAGTTGGTTTTAATCAAAAATACTACATTTTCATATCATTTTTGCTCTGTTTGAGTCCGTGTGAACCAGAAAACGATTAATCGATTACTAAAATAGTTGTCGACTATTTCAATAATTGATTAGTCGTCGATTAATCGATTAGTTGTTTCAGCCCTAATTCTGATTCTGAGGTCTTTCTTTCCTTCTTGCTGCTGTCAGACTGTACAATAATAATAATAATAATGCATTGGTTTTATATAAAGGTTTTCAGGACACGTAAAGATGCTTCACATGTCATTATTTTTTGTAGTGATAAATCTTCTACTTTCACCACAGCTGCCCTGGGGCACACTGACAGAAGCGAGGCAACCAGTATGCCATGCAAATGCCATCAGCCCCTCCGACTACCACCAGCCATTCACACACAGCCAAACCAGTCTAGCCTAAGGACACAACAACAGTTTGCCACTTTACAGCCGCCCGACTGTGGCACCTGGTGTTCCCAGAGGTCTCCCATCACAGTACTAACCAGACCAATGCCCTGCACAGCTGTAGAGATCTGACTGGATCTGGCAGTCGAATGCAGTTATGGCATGTTGCTCTACATTGTCCCTTTCATATAAAGACTAAACAAATTCCATTTAACATCAGACGCTTTTCACAAAAAACAAATCAAACCTCAAACTTCGTTCTGAGTTCTTCTTCTCAGAGTATAATCTGCAAACATGTCTCACACTCTTGCTCCTCCTCATCATTCAGGATTGCACATGTCTCAGAAGGGTCCACCTGTGGTCAGACCCTGTGCAATGTTCTGGTCCGTGTTGCTTTGTGCTGTAGCTGCAGTGTTTTATAAGCAGCGTCTGAAATGATGGTTCACACCTCGTCAGCGCTGACTGAGGAGGCGGAGGCTGACGCACTAATCGCTGCCTGTCTGCGGCTGTCACTGCGGTCACTCCTCTATGTTATTACTGCTTCAATGGACCGAGCGCCATCTCACAACAAGACATTTCAACTTTATTCACACTAATTATGACCCTATTTTCCAAAACTGCAGACTTAAAGTAGACATATAGAAGTGAAATCGAGGTTTTTGAGCTTTTAACCGTGTTACAATATTGTTCTCTAGTCAGTCACAGACCTGGAGTTGTTTTTATAATAAGGATGATAATAACACACTGCAAAAGTTGTGAATAATAAGTCCAAAATTGCTCAAATCTGGAAAATTACAATACATTTTAATTTGAGCACATATAGACAGCCTTGAACAAGATTTTCCACTGAGACCAGAAAAATGATTTATACAAGAAATGTCTCTCTTAGAATCAGAAAATGAAGTAAAAATTCTTG